ATAGATAGATAGATAGATAGATAGATAGATAGATAGATAGATAGATAGATAGATAGATAGATAGATAGATAGTTGTTCTGTTAGTATGCCCTGGGAGTGATTTACTAGAACTTGTAGTTTCTCTATATCAGCTTATTCAATTCATATCTGTTGGTCTTCAACCACAATGAGCTCTGGCCTTACCGTGAGGCATTGCAGGATGTTAGTTTTGCAACATTGCCAGCAAATAGAACACATATGTTTGCTCATCGTGTCAGGTACAGGAATTAGATTTAGACACAAAAAAGATATAAACACTATCAGGATAGACACTTGGTATATATAACCATATTTTATTATGATCTAATGGTTTTTGGTCTATTTTGCAAATGCATATTGTTGATGTCTGGGAGACTGTTTCCATTTTGCATGCTGACACTAACTCCTTTTTTCTCAATAAACCCTTTAAAACCTTATCTGCCTCTTGTAAGTGTTCTGCTTGTGGGTTAGAGCAATCTCTAAAAACATGACATATATAATGTAACTACACCCACATTGCCTTCTGTTGGTGATAAGAGGACATTCTGGCACCTGTCTACGACAGACTCGCTTCTGTCAGTGAGCCACAGAGCAGCTGAGGCTACAATGTAGTTTGCCATCAGTGTGTGAACGTGTGCATGAATGGGTTAATGACTCAATGCAGTGTGAAGCCTTTTGGAGTTCCCTGACTTGAAAAGGCATTTTATAAGTAGAGGCCAATCGTTACCCTTAAGGAATTAATGTCTTAGTTTCTGGAGTAGTTTCTGAAAAATGAACCAATCTCCTTGTTCCGCCAACTTCTACAAGACCCTCAGCAAATTTACCCAAACTATATATACTGTCTCTATATGGTGGACCAGCTCTACCATATTTAAAAATGAATATAGAAATAAATAAATGCTCAATAAATAAATAAGCATACAATTAATTGCCCCCAAAAATACAATAAAAAATAAATGTAGGTAGAAGTTAAACTATACAGTGAAACATAAATGTATATATCTCTTTTAATTAGCTTCTTTATTTATTCACCTTTGTAATATTTAGCTTATTTACCTATTGTCCATTATTATCTTCAACTTTATTTATTAATGACTTATTTTTTTAAGTATTTATTTATGTGCATGTTATAATATTTTTGTCTGTCAGTTTTATTCTTCCTTTGTATTTTTTTACCCTATTTATTTCCTCAATGCTATGTATTTCTGCCTGTCGTTTTTACAATTCTGTATGCATTTCTGCCTCATTATGCAAATGTAGAAAGGGTGTGTCTAAGAGGGTCAACTTCCGCTCATTGGTTGGTTAGCATTTTACTGCATCGGTCAAATCTGCAGGAGGAGAGGAGAGTCTGGAGTCGAGCCTGAAGTCAGTGGCCGTTTCAGTGGCCGAGAGTATGAACTTTTGTGCTCGCCAAGTATGTTCTTGAAGAACACAGGAAAGTCTGGACTTGGGGAGAAGGGGAGCCCATAGCAGAAAGTCATTCCACTATTTGGTTACATGGTGTATACCACATTCAACATGGGCCAGCAGAAGAAAAGGCAAGAGTTGTCCCAGGAGGTTAGAAAAAAATTATAGACAGACATATTAAAGGTAAAGGCTATAAGACCATCTCCAACCAGTAACCACACCTATACAGCATAAACCCAATTTCCCAACATGAAGGATGGTAAAAGGCAGTTGATTCATTATTTAATGTGAGTGGCAAATATAATTTCTAATTGAGCCAGGTTGGTCTATGTGTTAGGATTCCAGTTTATGTGGGTTGTTTTTTGTGTTTTCCTCTCTCCATCACTAGGCGGTGCCCTGTCCTCATTGGGCCTCTCTGCACACCTGTGGCTTGTTGGGTCATTACCAGAGGAGTACTTGAGCAGCGGGCTGTCACCACCCCGACACCAGAGTGTTTGCCAGTTTTGTGTACTCTAGCCAAAATGAGATTAGCAGAGTCTAACCTTAGCCTTGTCTCTCTGAGTCTAAGCTTGCTTTTGTCTTTTGTTCTCCGGCAGGAAGCCTTCCTGATTCACTGGATAAGCCTGGACCTTCTACCCCCCTGGAATGATAAACTGTGTCACAATGAGCAAAGGGAAACCTCCACATTATCTGTTCAAGTCCTCTTCAGGAAAACCTGGTGAAAGTCCGCTCTATTACTCCTCTGGACCCAACATTAGTCTGCCTGTCCACCCCACAAACTGGATCCAAAGAATAACCAAGAGCCCCTAAACGTGAGTGCCTCTCCTGTAAATTACAAGCCTCAGTCTTTTTTTCCTATGTTCCCTGAACTGATCATTGTGATTTCCCCTTCAGAGTTTCCGGTTCCGGCTCACCAGTCCGCTGAGGTCCAATAGTGTTACCCAGCTGTATATCTCTCAGTCTGTGTTTTTGCAAACCACAATAAACCTTTTACCCTTGGCTTCTGAGTGTGTCTCTGCATGTGGGTCAGATCCTTAAAACCCATCGTGACACTATATACCCATCATATAGTTTTGACAACCCTGGAAACTCTAGCATGATTGGGTTAGTGACTAGGAAGTAAATGTGGTAACATTGCAGCAAAAAAGTCCCAGATTGTACCACATTTTAGTTTGAAATGAGTAAAACTTTACTAAGACACCAGCTCTGTTCATAAGCACAAAATTTCCCCGGCCCAATCTAAACCTTGGTTCATCGGAAAGCAGAACCTCACGGTTCTGCTGAACCTCACCCCTATAATGAAGGAGCTAACGCTCCTTCATTATAGGGGTAGAAGGCAGCATGGCGTGTTCGTCTGCAAATAAATTTAAGTGACACCCACTCTATCAAGGACTATGAGCCAGTCAAAACACTTCATGCTGATGGTTCCCACATGCGCAGTGGAAATGATTTTATTCCAAAGATCCGAATGGGTGAGTATATGGATGGCAAAAGGTTGGGGTTTAAAAAAAAACTCTCTTTTGGAATAAAATTTCTTTCTGATCGAACTGAATCAGATTGCAATCTTCAGTCTGAGATGTTTACATGAAATGTTTTTGATCTGCTCAGGCCTTTATTCTAGCTTTTGTTTTTGGGATATTGCAGGTTTTCCGTTTCACATTTTCAGCAGTCTGAGTGACATAGTTCTTATGAAAAATTAAATCTGTTGCAGAGCCACATTGAAGTACTGTATTCTGTCAAATAAATCCTCTTAACTGCAGGTGGTGCAATTTGTTCCTAAAAGCATTATCTGAAGCTTTTTTTTATGTTAAGTTATAATACCTGTATGACCGTGTGACTTAGCGTCCACTGCGACTTATTTATGGTTTATTTTTCTTTATAATCAGAATCAGAATCAGAAAAACTTTAATAATCCCAGAGGAAAATTAGTTTTGTTACATGCTCCAGTTACAGTTTTATATATATATAAACTATAATGATATAGCAGCTGGTGTGGCTTACAGTGTAGAAAATGCTCTCTTAATTGTATAAAATAAGTCAGTCTGAGAAAAAAGCAGAGATTAAATTGTTTTAGGATGTTGTCATTTAAGCGCATTGCATTTTTCTACAAAACTGCATGAACTGTTGCTGACTTGTGTTTTCTACTGAGCTGAAAATGTCAGTCTTTTTCCAGGAATTATATTGTAGTTCTTAGCAGGCTTACAACACAAAGGAGAAAAAGAATAAACCACCATCCTTATGTAAATCACTTAACTGTAAATCTATTAATATTTTAATGTTGGTAAAGGAATACAACTTTGTTTATGTGTCAGTAAGATCAGTCAATGGAGCCTTATATCCCATATTTAAATTTTAATCAGATGGTAATACAACAAAGGTGAGTTTCATCTCTATTTTTTGTAGAATGATAAAAAAAAAAAACGGTTAAAGGAAAATTAAAAACTAACTTTTTATATATAGGTAATTTTGTTAGCTAGATATTTTACTCAAATGCTTTTTACTTACTTTTTTTCATTTGCAAAGTCTTTGTTCCCTGGTCACAGGATTTACTTTGGCGAGTACATTCTTTCAGGGAAAACAACACAAATAACACCAAGGTTGTAGCAAACCATAATAATTAACCTTCTCTGAGCAGAGCAGGAAAAATGTATTACTGGAAAAGGGAAAAAAATAAACATACGTTTAGGGCCAGTGATGGACGAGCCCATGTTGATTGCTCTGGAGGATGTAGAGGAGGAGGAAGAGGAGGAGGAACAGGCCCTGACTGGAAAGGAGGATTTGGCTCTGCGAGTGGACGGAACAACTAGCCGGGAACGTTTAATGGGGATGACAGCTCGGGTCGGAGGCACAACACGGCCGTGGTACTCAAAGAGTCTGAAAACAAAAGAAAACATCCAGATAGGGAACAGACATTTTTATACATAGAAAATTCTTCTTCAAGGAAGAAAATTCACTCATGTTTGATTGCAGGCAGAAACAACAGTGTCTGGCTTCAATCATTTAGACTGACTAGAAGGATAGACTGGCAAAACCAGCAAGCTTGACCATAAGATTCAATAAAATCCAACTTAATATGCCCAAAAAATGCCAGACATCCCAGATATCTGTAAATACTTAAAGTTTTAACCATCCAATATATTCGAAACTAAGGGGAAATAAACAAACTGCTGAAAATGCCAAAAGTAAAGAACACTCTCAGATTTGCTGTTGCAAATGACCACTCAGGGGACTATCTGACATTCAGTGGATAAAAGCATCATTAGTGAGCCCAATGGAGAAAAAAAAAAAGAAAAGAAAGAAACGCTGCTTAATATGACATTCATTAAAGCTGTGATAATGCAGTCACCACTCAGATGGAAATCATGTTTTTTCTACATAAGAAATGGTAGATTGGCAGAAAGGACTTGTTCACTAAAGGGTAGAGAGGTGCTCATTGACGAAGATGTGATAGAACAAAGCTTTTTACATACCTGCTGTAGAAATCATCTCTGTAGTAGTCATAGTCAAATTCATAGCCACTGTGGAAAAAACAGACATAGTTTTTACTGTGTTGCATACGTTCAACTACTATGTTAACCAAGCAGGAGCAGAGCTGCTTAAAGGAGAAGTTCGGTTTTTAACACTTTTAGCCCATTTTCTGTAGTGTCCAGGATGAAATCGAATGATCGACACCAAAATTTTGACAATTGGTCCTGTCTCTGCTTTTTGGCTCATTTAGAATCCACCCCTGGCTGCTT